TCTTCGAGCTATATGGCCGGCCCATTGCCACTTCAGCTTACTAATCCGTTGGGCTATGTCGGTCACTCTAGTTCTACTGCGGATATCCTCATTTCTGAGTTTATCACGCAGAGAAACTCCGAGCATAGCCCTCTCCATAGCTCGCTGAGCGACCTTGAGCTTCCTCATCCGGCCAGCAGTGAAGGACCACGTCTCAGTTCCGTATGTCATCACTGGCAACACGCACTGGGTGTACAGTCTCGTTTTCAAGTTTTGAGGTATACCTGACGAGAAGATGTGCCGTAATTTCCCGAACGCTGCCCAACCGAGTTGAATCCGTCGATTGACCTCTCGGTCGAAGTTGGACTTACCTAGTCGGACTATTTGTCCCAGGCAAACATACTCGTCAACAACTTCGAGCTTAGTGTTCCCAACAACTACCGGCATAGGTGTGACATGGACATTAAACATGATCTTTGTTTTGTCCATGTTCATCTTAAGACCTATCCGTTGGGAAACACTATTGAGGTCATTGAGCATAGTGCTTAGACAGACAAAAATTTTAAAAATTGTATTTTAGTTATAAGTACCGTATTTAATTTCATATGCATTTAGCAAAAAAATGTAATTTTGACATTACAAACAAACACTTCAATTTTATTTATTTGTATAGATTAAAAACTGTTCTCTTATATCAGTCATTTTTATTTAATTTTTTATTATTATAGTTTTTTAATATTATATATATTATAAAATATTGTATATTATGTTATGTAAATAAGTGTAATATTCTATGGAGATAGGTAATAAAACAATAAATTCTTCCTGTGCATCATCCTCAATTGCCTTTCAGTCAATTTTACTAATTGAAACTCCCGGACGGCAATTTTTTAACTGACGTTTTATTAAGATAATTAAGTCAGTTAGTTAATTAAGAAGTTATCTACTAGATTTAGGAATTTTACAGTACATTTTTGAACGAACGTATAGGTCACTATAATTACATTTTTATTACAATGTGCAGGTTCGCGTTCTATTGATATATCAGAAAAGATATTTTATATAGAACTTGGTACATATCCCATTTTCTGCCGACTTCCAAAAAGGAGACGGTACTCAATTCGACTGTATGTTTTTTTTAGTGCGTTACCTCATAACTTTTTACTGGGTAAACCGATTTCGATGATTCTTTTCTTATATGAAAGCTGGTACTTCTCGTGTGGGCCCAAGAGAATTTAATCAAGGTCAAACCAATAATTTTTTAGTTATTCTTAATAATTTATATTGAAGTCGACTGTAAAAAGTTTTAATTCTAAATTATGTGTGTTATATTAGCTCCCGACGCAAAAAGGGGGTGTTATAAGTTTAACTTATATCATTCGAGATTCGCGCTATGTGTGTCTGTTTATCTGTCTGTGGCACCGTAGCTTTTCACCGATGGGTTTATGTCAAGCTGTGATAGCTTGGCCAGATTATGTTGAATATGCAAACTGCTATAACATATGCCAAGCTGTAATAGCTTGGCTAGATCATAAATATACTATTTTAGATATTTTCACACAAGAATATTAATCTGGTGTCCCAGCTTTGATAAACTAGATTAATATAAGTACCGTTTACACATTTGATGCTGCTTACCGTGGCCGATCTGGTTATTCTACAACTATACCCTGTTCACTTTGCTGTGACGTTATATGTAAATAAAATATAACTTGATATCAAACAATTCCATTTAATAATTTAAAATTTATAATTTTGTACAACCGACTTCAATATAAATTATTAAGAATAACTCAAAAACCATTGGTCAGACCTTGATCAAATTGGGATGGGTGGGAAATAATCATCGAAATCGGTTCACCTAGTAAAAAGTTATGAGGTAACACACATAAAAAAAACATACAGCCGAATTGATTACCGGCTCCTTTTTGAAGTCAGTAGAAAAAAGCAACCTCCGTAAACGTTACACTCAAATTGTTATTTTTTTTATAGGATAGGGTGACAAACGAGCACATAGTCTACCTAATGGTAAGTGGTTGCTGTGGCCCATAAACATCTACATCTATCCTCGTTTGCGAATCAAAATGCAGATGCGTTGACACCCGTGAGGACTAAGATGGAATGCCTCTTTTCCAGTAAAAAGGGTCTCCGGTTCTCTACACACACCATACGAAACACAGCAGTTTTGACCTGCTATTTACGCTGGTACTTAAATTGTCTCCTGTATCATCAAATCAGCTTAGATACATAATTTGCATAACAATAAACATTCAGATCCGGAACAATTAAGAGACCGTACAAATACTTGATTTGTGTGGTATTCGAACTCGTGGGCCTCAGCGACGCATTTCAATGTTAAGCTACTGAGCCACGGGGCGTCATATTTGCTAATTTGTTAATTTTTATAAGCTGTCAAATGCATGTTGTAATACAATCTTAACAATTTCAGTGTGAGTACAAGTTGTTTACATAAAATCTCATGATGTAGTAAACATGCGATGTTCTAAATAAAAGCTATAGCGCTATCTATCGGAGGTCACAAGAGGGCATCATCCGTCATTTTTATAGTCGCTTATTACGATACCCGCGGAACGAGATGGGGACTACCTGAGTAATTAAATAAATGTGGTAAACAATTGCAGAAGCCAAGAAAGGACAAAGTAATATTTTTATCATTTTCAGGTTTTTGAGAATATCATCCTTATTAAACAAATTTTCCGACTGTGTATGTGGTGAACGCGTGGCCTTCGGTATAATCATCTCATTTATAAAAGATGTCAAATACCCAGACAGGCGACGGGAAACACATATAAAGATGTAGTTCAAGAGCGGGTGACACATTTTGAGCACGGATTTAACCCATCTAGTTATATAGCTCAAAAGTGTCGTTTACGGAATGGCTAGTCTGCCTGGCATGTACAGGTGAGGCAGGTACTGCGCAATGTAAAAGTAAGGTAAAATATTTGTGTTAAAAATATAATTGACCCAGCGTGAAGTAACACAAATTGTTTTCTATTATCAGTAATAAGCGCAGTATATTCATTGCAGATCATTCGAGTGAGATGGCACGGAACCAGACAACCCCAAAGATATTTAAAAAAAATTAAAAACAAAACTTTATTACCCACTTTGAAAATTTAATAGCATGTCAAGTTAATAATAATTTCAAAAAACCGGATCATTTCGGTGGTAGAAAAAACTGCCAGATACCCTAAAAATCTACCTTGAAATAAATAGAGACCGAAGACGGGAAACAATGAATATGAGAGAGAGCGTATAATTTGTGTTAATTCATGCTGGGTCAATTATATTTTTAACACAAATATTTTACCTGTCCTACCTGTATATGTCAGACAGACTAGCTATTCCCTATACAACTTTCATAAACGACACTTTTGAGCTATATAACTAGATGCGTCAAATCCGTGCTCAAAACGTGTTGCCCTCCGAATAATGCGAGATGTCGAACACTGACTTCATATCAAACATTGCGATACAGCAAGTCTTCCTTAACCAAGAAGTCAGTGTCTAGTAATATTTTAATATTCTCTAGACCGAATTGTGGTCACGTCGGCCATTGTCAAAAAAGACTAGCCATCTGCGCAGTACACAATCGTGTACGCAAGCATATCTACACTCTCTTTCGATATGACGGCAATCCGACACAACAGGAGAGAGATCAGGTGCAGGACCAACGGCCTTGCGTAATTTCCGAGGCACGGGAGTGAAACCCCGCTAATTTCCTGACTTGATATTACTGTAAGTTTCAGTTAACAACCCAATAACTGACTTAAGCCTGACCCGGGATTTGAACCCGCGGCCGACGAAGTAGTCATAACAAGTGTAGTTTTTTGTGCAGACAGGGATAGTATTCTCATCTCAATTACTATTATGATATTGTGTTTGTGTATTCCTGTGTGTTTCTCACTTGCGAATGTGAAAGACTAAAATGTTATCTAACTCGACGATTTATAATAACAATAAATGTTATAATTATGGATATTCTGCCGGCGTTTTGTCCGTATAACGCATTCCTTTGTTTTTCTCTCTGTGTGTACCCTTATTTAACCACACTAGAACTAATTTTATTATGATATTCCTATGCATTGATCTTCTACATAAAATAATATTTTTAAGAACTACGTACAAGATAAAATTACTAAAATTTAATCGATTTAACGCTATACTATATTTATCAGACGTTAAGCAAACCATAAAAAATCATACAGACACACAGCCACAATCCTTATAATGTCCACGGTCAAATTTAATAGGAAATTTAACATGGAAACGCGAGATGACGATTTTGTCAATTTTTCATAGGCATAATCAGTCCGAGCTGCAGTTGTCCCATTCAATTGTTGAGCTCGGCCAACTCGGGGGATGGGATTCGGGTAAAGTGCGACAGAAATAAATCTGTAAAAATCTGCATTACGCTTAAAATTCGGCAGAACTCTTTGTGAGAATGGGAATTGTATGGTAAAGAAAGAAAAAAAATATTTCCTCTGATAATAGAAATTAATTTTTTTTTAGCACGCACAAAAATAATAATTAATTTAAAATTACTTGAGCTACACTCATCAGTAGTGTTTACTTAAAAGAATTTGTCGCTTTTAAGAATAATAATATTAATTCATTGATAAAATATACTTACTTCGGTAGGCAGGTATGTAGATGTACAACAGTGGACCTACAAAGGGCTGTAATGATGACGATGATATTTTATATATCTTAAACTTCCATGTAAACTAAACAGTATAGTAAATCAGATTTAAATTTATAATTCTTATGTACGTAATGAATTTAATTTTTGTCTTAAACTAATTTAATTAAATTAGTAGCTGTCTATTAAAGTGGAAACTCTGTAGGCTCCTTTTAGTCATCAAGTTAATCAATCAGAAATCAGGATTATTTTAAAAACATTAATTACAGTAAAATTACGATTATTTTAAACATGTAAGTACAATAGGAAGCCAATTAGATAACGATCGGATACTAAATTATCAAAAAATAGTACTTACCCTGCACGGTTTTGGTGGCCATTATAATTCACGAAGTCGAACCACTGATGAAAAATAAAAGAATTCGTCAGCCAATTCGGTGAGACACGATCGTACGCAACGGCTCGTAGGCGACTGCTACGTCTCTGCTACGAAACTCCCGCGCCGCTATTATTAGCCGAATTATTATCAAGTTTATTTACACCGTGTTACTTTGCGTTATTATTATTATATGACCGCGTGCGGACCGCGCTGTGTTCGAACTGAGAGTGTCACAAATCCCGAATCCCGTTTTTATAAACTATGTAGGTTCGTAAAGTGGTAAATTGTAGAATAAATATGGTCTCGTATTTTGTGAATCAGGCTCACTCGCTTAGTTCACTGACAAGAATAATCGTCGCAGCGACGTAATAAGGTTTTATTATGTTAGCTGAGATGGCTACGCTTGGTTGATGGCGTTAGTGAATACGGCGCGCTAGTGCGTTTATAATTCGTTATTAGAATGCAGTTCAGGTACGGCTTAGCATATAGTATAAAAAGAATATTAAAATTTGCATACGATGCAAATTAGTATAATAACGATCAAGAGAGAGAAAATTTAATATAATGTAATTTTTGCCAGCTCGTAATGGTCTACAACAGAACGATCGGCGACCGTAGTACAAGATAGACAGCATTACTGACGCTCCTTTCCGTAACTGGTTCGGGTTTTTAATATCTGAAATATACGAGTTGGTATAAATTCATCCACCTAACATCTCATAAGATCTGTATGGCCCGTACTATTGGTACCCGTACTAAATAACTTAAAATTAAAAATTTTGTACAGCCGACTTCAATATAAATTATTAATAATAACTCAAAAACTATTGGTCTGACCTTGATAAAGTTCATATGGGATTACATGTAAAGTACCAGCTTTCAAATAAAAAAACAATCATCGAAATCGGTTCACCCAGTAAGAAGTTATGAGGTAACACACATAAAAAAACAGGCGAATTGAATACGGGCTCCTTTTTGAAGTCGGCAGATAAGGTGATGTATTTATTCACTTAGATGGATTCTACATGTAACATGTAACTGTGGTGGCAAAATTTAAGTATATTAATGAAAATTAAAAATAATGTAAATGCTCTGTCTATTTAAAAACAAACATAGGTATAGAAAAATTGGAATAACCGAAGGAGCAGCGTTCGTTTGAAGATTCTTTTTGTCATAGCAATTGTGACTCAGAATAGGATAGAATGGAATAATTACTTATTCAATATAAATTACAAGTAATTTTTATTTCGAGTAAACTTAGTACTTGTCTAATTAGTACTTGTCCGGAAAAAAACGTCTGTCCTGGGAAGAAAGAGCAAGAAACCCAGTAAGACTTTTTTATTTAAAAAAAAAAGCAATAAAAGAACCTTGATTTCAAAGTCAGCATTTTGAGAAAAATCTGCGACAATATAAGACAAAACAAATTATAGTGATCGATGAATTGGGCGTTTTAAATATTCTGAAAAAGTATGTATAATAAGTAATTTTTAATACGCGGTAGAGCCGTGCTGCAGCTATATATCTGGTATAGTTGTAGCACGAATGGGCCGGCTCGACCGGGGAAGGACCACGCTCTCACAGAATACCAGCGTAAAATAGCAGCTTAACGCTGTGTTTCGTACGGTGAGTGTATAGTACCGGAGACCCTTTTTACTGAAACGAGGCATTCCACCTTAGTCCTCACGGGTGACAACGCATCTGTATTTTGACGCGTAATCGAGGATAGATGTAGGTGTCTATGGGCCACAGCAACCACTTACCATTAGATGGACTGTGTGCTCGTTTGCCACCCTTATCCTATAAAAATTATTATGAATGATAAATTATTATCAAGTATATACTATAGTATCTTTAAGGCTAACCTTCAAATAGACAAAACACTTAACATGATCTGACTTCCAGTCTCTATCCTCAAAGGGGCTTCTTCATTAGGTTTGCTTCTCAAGTAGAACTGGAATATTCGACGGCTCCGTATCACAGGGCTTAGCTATTTCCAGTTCCTTTTGTTTGGTATCAACGCTGTGGGCCCCGGGTTCGAATCCTACACGGAACAACTGTTTGTATACTATACTAAACGTTTGTAACGGCCTACAAATAATTGTTCCAAACAGATGTTTATCAATTTGAAATTTATGTAAGTATGTAAAACGTCTTCACGAAACAAGATGACTTGCTGCTACTAGTAGTGTGAGAGTAGCGTTACTTAAGTTAAAAAAATCGGTTAGTGGACATCAATTCTTATCCATTAACACTCACAAAACTACACAAGTACAAGCTCACCACGTACCCTACAGATATACCAATAGTTCTGTCACACATTAAAACTGAAATGCATATCTTTTTTAATGAAACAGATTAATAAGAATAAAAATTATGTGTACATACTATTTATTACCAGTTTCCCTGTCCGCGAAATAGACACAATAGTAAATTAATCGAAATGTCCTTAAATGATTAACGGGACAGAGAAATTTAAAACAATTAGAGACTAAGATTTATCATCATAGCAGTCAGCGCCGGATTTAACTTTTTGGTGCCCTAGGTTTCTATGGTGCCCTAGTTAGGGTTCCGTACCCGATGGGTAACCAACGGGACCCTATTACTAGGCATCCGCTGTCCGTCCATCTATTCGTATGTCTGTCTGTCAGCGGACTGTATGTCACGATCGGTAATAGGTAGACACTTGAAATTTTCACATAATGTATATTTATGTCGCTCTAACAACAAACAATAAAAATAAAAATAAATTAAAAATCGAAAAGTAACTGGATATATAATATTCCTTTTTATATTTTTTAGCCTTTCTATTTTTATTACTGCTGCACCGCCTCTTGTTTGTCTATCTTTGTTTAGTCTAATGGTTGACTGTGAGAGAATGCCCTATGGCATTAAGTCCGCCATGTGTACAACTTTGTGCATGAAAATTTAAATAAATTAAAAAATATATACAAATTTACGGATTGTTAAATCGTATTAAATTGTTTTACTTTTTGAATTATGTTTCACAATTAATAGAATATAAATGCATTTAAAGCATTTGTAATATATTTTATTTTTATTGACTATATAGTAACATGCATTTTATTTCCATAATAAAGCATATAATCTTTTATCAAATCTTTAATAACCGACACGTAGCCCTAGGCCAGTGCCTACTGTGCCTAATTATAAATCCATCACTAATTACAGTTCTTCACACTCTACAGTTGAACATCGACCTCCCCAAGGAATGTCACAAAGCATGGTCCTGAGCCACCTACATCCAACGAATTCCTGCATCTTTTACCAAGTCGTCACTCCGTCTAGTGGGCGGCTGCCCTACACTTCGTTTACCGGTACAAGGATGCATTCGAGAACCTTTCTTATTGGTATGACGAGAAGATGTGTCGTAATCATCCAAACGCTGCCGTTCGAGTTGAATTAGTCGATTGACCTCTCGACTAAAACGAGTCGACTAAGCGATTAATTAAAGACAATTTTAGTCAAACAGGTGGCCTTTTGCTTTGATACAGGCCTTCTATCTCTCTGATCACGAGTATATGAATTCACGCATCGCTTATCTTATATAATAAGGATGACAAACGAACACACACTTACCTGATGGTAAATGGATGCTGTGGTCCATGGACATCTACATTTATCCTCAATTAAGAATCAAAATGCCACTCCTGAGAACCGACATGGAATGTCTCCTTTTCAGTAAAAAATGTCTCCGCTTCTCTCACCTTACCATACAAAACACAGCGGCATTAAGCTGCTATTTTACGCTGGTATTCTGTAAGAGCAAGGTATTACCCCGGTCGAGCCGACCCATTCGGGCTACAACCATAAAATGGCTACAGCTAGTTCTACCATGTGTCTCTGGGGAATTAAGCCACTGCTAGTTCTAAAGATTTCACGAGAGACTCAAAGTTGGAGTAACTTCATGCCCTTTAATACTGCCCACATTTTTTGTATGACAGCGGTCTTGGCTTGTGCAACACCGAAGAATAAAAGTGTAATTACTTAATATAAAGGAAAAACAGAACAAAAATTCATTCTTAGTTATAATCAGACGAACAAAAAATTCTTCCAAGACCGAATTTTAATCAGCACGAAAAATACTTCATTTTTACATATTATATTGGTTACGGTTTTTCCATACAATCACCAGAAAAGATAATTGAGATGTATTCCAAGAATTAAATATGATTGTTTATGTATATGGTGCATTTGTTTTCCTTTTTTAAATACTTTATATAAGCTTCACAAAAATGACAGCTTAATGGCAGTGTAAGAATATGCACTACCCAATATCGTTCCGTGATTGGAATGAGAAGCGACAAAAGGAAACAAACCAAGAGATGGGCAGCACTACCTACCCACCTGCTAAGGTAACTATGGCAAATATCCCTCATATGATGTAATCTACTCTATGGGGAGGCCTTCAGCAGTGAACATTAATGAAAATAAATGAATTAATAAAAAATCACAAATATACTACTGATAGGAACTGGTTTCTGTAAATTTCATTTATCATATGCATAAGTTTAACTATGAAAGACGTAGAAGTACTATATGCTGTGTATTGCATTAAGTCTTCGAACCTCTTCTCCAATTTATAAAACCAGTATAAGGACTAGCATTCACTCACTTGTATTCAATTAAATTCGTATACTTTTTCAAGTATAAGACTAAAATGAATTATTTAAACGAAAATATTTTCATATGATTTGAAATAGCGTTCCTATTCTGTAGATGTTTGTAGATTTTCTTATTTTTTTATTTGTAATTGTTTTTTTTTAACTGCCATACATACCTATGCAATGTGATAAATACTCGGATCTCACAAGAAACACAAGTAAAAGTCCAACCCGTTTTTATTAAATCTGAATAGCGAGTGCACAAACGCCTTTACACTGCGAACTGGACGCAATTTTATTCTGTGGGAGCATGATCCTTTGCCGGTCAGTCGACCATTAAAGTGCCAAATATAGATGAATAGCTCTATCTCGTATACACTTACAATAACTACTCAAATTGCTCAATAAAGTTTTTATCAATGTTTAAAAAGTAGTGGATACTCTTTGATCAATTTTCTTTTATTTATACTTATCCTATAAATATTTTTAGTACATAACGTCACGCCTTATATCCCCGAACGATATGCAGGGTTCAAAGAACAGCGAGCTTCTCGAACCATGCTTAGCCAAGGAAATTATGGGTAAAATTAGTAAAAGTATAAAAAAAAGAAAAAATATAGGTAGCTAGCCCATCAGGTACTTAATCACAAATCCAGTATACCATCAGTTGAATTTTACGATATATTAGGCAAATAAATGAATGGACACTTTATTTTATGTTATAATTATAAAACCCAAATACATATGGGACAAATCTAAGTTTAAAAAAAAAACCTATAAAATATTCTTTATCTTCTATATCGACCCGTAATAGCTTATTGCTAGGTACGGGCCTCACACCTATTATCGGAAGGATTTGCTACAAGCGTCACCGGATAGGTCTTTATGGCCCGTCCTATAGTCGTCGTTTACTACACTCACGAGACGAAATTGGATGATAAATTATCTCTCCACACGGTGTATATGTTACAGTCGAAACTCATAACCGGTCTAAACAATTTTTAACTGCGAAAATTACGC